GGTGCGCAACCTAACACATGATGGGCACTGTACGTGGTGCTATCTGGGCGGTACAGCATATGTGGTGCACTCAGATGTGGTGCGCGCTATATGGTGTAATTCACCCCGTCGAACTTGACATGGTCATATCCACTGCTCCCACAATCATCCCACCCACCCACGGGCAACCTGGCCTGCACCACCCATGCGGCGACGATTGCGATGACTGTTTGGCGCTGGCTGTCGTGCCGCTGCGGCCGCGCTATCGCGCGCAGACTTGCGCGTAGAGCGGCCAGCTAATCTGGGGCGGCCGCGGTGGCGCTGACCGATGGGGATTTCCAGCGCGTCTCGCAGGCCGCGCTGACGCGCGGGCACTTCAGTGCGAGTCGATGACTCGGGCGGGCGCGGTATCATGGCGACGTCGAGAACGAAAAACACGATAATCATTGTAGCGGTGGTCGTGGCGGCGGTGACGATTACGATGACAATGACGCTGGCAAGGCCAATGACGGCGCCGATGCTGACCACGCCGATGGCGATGATGGTGTCCACGCGTCGGCGATGAAGGGTTTGGGAGGTCTCCGACATGCGCGCGCGACCGACGGGCGCGAGTGGCCCGCATGGTAGCATTTGCATGGGATCGTGCCCCTCCCCCCGCACGCGCGCAACAGCATTCGAATGATTTCGACATGCGCCGCGGGGGGGCCCCATGGTTTCGTTCAGAATGCGCAAGAGCGCGCGCGCATACCTTTTTCTCAACAGTCATGGTGCACAAAGTTGTATGTTTTAGGGCAATCGATTTTGAAACCTGTGCAGGACCTACGACGCGCGCGTGCGCACGTCGTCCGACTTTGCGGAGAAGGGATTTTTGGCAATTGATGGTTTTTGATAAGCGAGTGTGCGCGCATGGTTTTTTCTACGGGATGGTGTGGGTTGGGGGTGTGGGGGGGTCGAATGTGGCCTGCCTGGGGCTGTATGAGTTCATTTGCAGACTCAACGGTGGGGCAGAATCACAAGTAAAGTGCACAACCCCAACTGGTATAGATCATCACGGGCTCGGGGGGTGGACCCCAACTCCTTGCTGGAAAGGAGAATCGACGCTGTGCAAAACACACAGACACACAACTATCTATATATATATATATATATATATATATATATATATATATATCTGAGGTGAGGGGGTGAGATCGAAGTGGAACGGAGAGCCCCCCTACCAGGAAATCGGTTTCGTTTCGTGTTCGTGCGTGCCGTGCGTGCGGGCGATGCGAAGCTGCGTGGGCGGGCGAGAAGAAAGTCTCCTCCGGCTGAGGCGCGGCCGGACCAAATGATTCCTCTCCGGGGGCCGTTGGCCCGCCGGTGTCCCGCCAGTGTCCCGTCTCCGGCTGAGGCGCGGCCGGACCAAATGATTCCTCTGCAGGGGCCAGTGGCCCGCGGTGTCCCGCCGGTGTCCCGCCGGTGTCCCGCCGGTGTCCCGTCGGTGTCCCGATGATGATGATGATGATGATGATGATGATGATGATGATGATGATGGTGTCGATGATGTTGATGATGATGATGATGGTGATGGACGTGATGATGATGGTGTCCCGGTGATAATGATGATGGTGACGGTGTTGATGATGATGATGGTGATGGTGGTGATCATGATGGTGTCCTGGTGATGATGATGTCGATGATGATGCTGCTGATGCTGATGATGGTCTCAAGATGATGGTGATGATGTTGATGACCATGATGATGTTGATGATGGTGAGATGATGGTGATGTGATGATGAGTTTGATGATGAAGATGACGATGATGGTGTCCCGATGATGGCGATGATGAAGTTGATGATGATGATGTTGATGATGATGGTGATGGTGTCCTAATGATGATGTTGATAATGATGATGACGATGCTGGTGTCCCGATGATGATGATGATGATGTTGCTGATGAGGATGATGATGAGGTGCAGATGATGATTTTGATGATGGTGGCCCGATGATGGTGATGATGATGATGTTGATGATGTTGGTGTCCCGATGATGGTGATGATGGTGATGATGATGATGGTGAAGATGATGATGGTGTTCCGATGATGACGATGTTGATGATGATGATGATGTTGCTGATGATGGTGTCCCGATCATGGTGATGACTTTGATGATGTTGTTCTGGATGATGGGATGATAATGATGATGGCGGTGTTCCGATGATGATGATGATGATGATGATGATGGTGTCCCGGTTATGATGATGTTGATGATGATGGTGACGATGATGGTGTCCCGATGATGATGGTGGTGGTGATGATGGTGATGTTGACGACGGAGGTGAGGTGATGATGATAATGGTGTCCCGATGATGATGATGTTGATGACGTTGATGACGATGATGTTGATGATGATGATGATGACGTTGTTTGTGAGTTCGATTGTGCTATCGATAGTGAGATCCATAGTAAGACCGAATGTGAGATCGATTGTGGATTCGATAGTGCGATCGATAGGGAGATCGATTGTGAGATCGATAGTCAGATCGATTGTGAGATCGATCGAATGAAAAAGACCGAGTGAGATCGATTGTGAGATCGATCGAGTGAGATCGATGGAGCGAAACAGATAGTAAGATCGATAGTGAGACCGATCGAGTGAGACGTTGGTTCCTCACCCCCCGAACCTCCTTATCACCCGAAGGGTGGTCGTATAGGTATATATATATATATATACACATGTATATATATATATATATATATATATATATATATCGGAGGTTGGGGGGTGAATCCGACGTGAAACGCAGACCCCCCTACCGGGAAATCGATGTCGGTTTCGGGTTCGTGTCGTGCGTGCCGTGCGCGCGTGCGGGCGAGGCGAAGCTGGAGAGGAAATCCTCCTGTGGCCGGGCCGCGGCCGGACCAAATGTTTCTCCTCCGGCGGCCGGTGCCGCGCGGTGTCCCGCCAGTGTCCCGTGGTGTCCCGTGGTGTCCCATTGAGTGAGATCGATCGTGAGATTGATCGTGAGATCGATACTGAGGCCGATGTGGTGTCCCGAGGTGTCCCGTGGTGTCCCGAGGTGTCCCGTTGAGTAAGATCGATAGTGAGATCGATACTGAGATCGATGTGGTGCCCCGAGGTGTCCCGCGGTGTCCCGTGTTGTCCCGCTGAGTGAGATCGATATTGAGATCGATCGTAAGATCGACAGGTGTCCCGAGGTGTCCCGTGGTGTCCCGTTGAGTGAGATCGATAGTGAGATCGATGTGGTGTCACGAGGCGTCCCGTGGTGTCCTATGATGTCCCGCTGAGTGAGATCGATAGTGAGATCGATCGTGAGACCGATAATGAGATCGAGAGGTGTCCCGCGGTGCCCCGTGGTGTCCCGTTGAGTGAGATCGATAGTGAGATCGGTAGTGAGTTGGACAAGTGTGCCGTAGTGTCCCGTGGTGTCCCGTTGAGTGAGATCGATAGTGAGATCGATTGAGTCAGATGTTGGTTCCCCCCCTCTCTCCTCCCCACAACCTCCTTATCACCCGAAGGGTGGTCGTTTTGGTGTATATATATGGTGTGCTTCTTTTTTGTCGGTGCAACATATGATATGCTCTCGATGTTGCTCAACATGTGTGGTGCAATTTATGTGGTGCAATTCAAGTGGTGCAGTCGATGTGGTGCAATCTATGTGGGGTAACCTATGTGGCGGCGGCGAAACGGCGACGGTAACAACAAAGTCGCCAGAACGGCAGACAGGCCCAGATGACGGGCGGCGACGAGGTGGCGACGGGGCGGCGACGGCGGCACCATAGCCGCCAGAACAGCAGGCAAGATACACAGTACAAGGTTGCACAAGCGTGCGATGTGACAAACTCGGGGCCCAACGCAGCCCCGCCAATCTCAGCTTAGATCATTATATCTATATATATATATAAATATATATATATATATATATATATAATATATATATATATCAGTCTCGAAAGCAGCCTGGCTGAGTCGCAGCCTAGCTCAGCCGAGGTGTAACAAAGTCGGCCCAAGCCAACCACGCACGTTCAATCTCCGCGAATATCAGCCCAAGTCGAGCCATCCCAGTCCAACCCAGTCTTGGTCCACCAAGTTAGTTGCAGATGGGCGCAACCCATCCCAGCTCAGCCCAACGCACCCCAGCCGTCCAGCACAGCGAAGCTCAGCCCAACTCAACTCAGCCTATTCAGTTATGCTCGGTCCTGCTCAATCGAGCTAAGCAAAAATCAGCACAGCTCGACCCAACCCAGTCCAGCTCAGCCTCGGTCCACCAAGCTAGTCAAACATGAGCCCAGCCCATTCCCGCTCAGCCATGCCAGCTCCAACCCAGTCCAGCACAGCGAATCTCAATCCATCTCAGCTCAGCATGTTCAGTTCTGCTCGTCCCTGCTTAATCGAACTTAGCAAATCTCAGCGCAGCTCGGCCCAACCCCTGCCCAGCTTGACGCACTACGCCCATATCAGCCCAGCTATGTCCTGCGCACTCGTTTCATACTTGCTGAGAACACAACATTAACGAAGTGCTGATTTCTTGTACCTACGAAATCTTGCGACAAACCCTTGACCCTTCAAAACAACTGCCCATGCCATCGCACTCAGGACTTAGAAGGGCCCAGGGCTGCCTGATAGGGGTCCAATTGGGGTCATACCGTTTGAATGACTTACTGCTGTTGGTCCTCCTCCTCCTCCTCCTTCTGCATCTTCCTCCTCTCCATCGCCCCCCCTGCTCTCCCCGAGCTCCCCTCCCATCCCTTCGCCCATCAGCGCTCCCTCGTCATAACTCGGGGGCGCGCAAACATGAATCAACGATCCATGGGTTTGGCGCGCGGTCGCCAACGCCATGGACCTCCCCAAAATGCGGCCGGTGCCGCCTCGCCCGGCGGCGGAAATGCGCGATTTCCCATGGAAGCGGGACCCGTGGCGAATCCACGCCACCTTGATCAATGTCTGCGATCGCCTGAACAACTCCTCCTCCCCCGCCGCCTCGCGCTCTCCCACCGCCTGGCATGCTCCCCCTCCGCGCCTGGGCAACGGCTCCTCGGTTCCCTGGGGCGTTCTCCTGGGGGAGAGGAGGGCGCGGACTCCCCGGGTGAGCAGAGCGGCGCGGCCACCGCGCAGAGAAGGGCACGCGCAGGTCTACAGTAGGGGCCCGACCGCAAGAAACCTCCCACGAGAAACCCAACCCTGAGACCCTAGGACGCCCCTCGATTTTTGGTGTGGGAACGGCACGCTTCCCATGGCAAGACCATCGAAACCCAGGAAGTCCAGGGCGCCCTGGAGGCGAGCAGCGTGCCTCTTGGCATGGGCCCCCACTGCAACACACGCGCGGAACGAGGAGGCGCCGGCCTCCCGCAGCGCGTGGGGCGCGCAGTGGCGCCCCGGCGCCGCACAGGGAACGAACGAGGCCCTCTCGGGAGGCCCGCCAAGAAGAAAGGCCTCGGCACGGCACGCCTGGCCCGGGAGACGGGGCCGAAGGCCCCAGGGACCGGAGGCTCGATGGCAGCAGATCGTTGGGGGTCGGGGCCGGCGTGTGAGAACACCACGCGGTGGTGTGCAGGCAGTCCGTGCTTGAACGGGAGGGCACTGGACACTGCCACGACCGCCCGCGCGAAGCGCCCCGCATTCCACGAGGCGCCGGCCTGTGTCCACACATAAGAGAGCGCGTGGTCCACCGCCGCTTTGCTGTGGAAAATTCCCCCTCCGGAACCCGGGGTTCCCTCTCCCCCTCCGAAAATCCCCCCCCCTCCTGCTTGAACACCCCCCCCCGCTCCCCCCCCTCCCCCTCCCCCCCTTCCCCCGGCAAAACCCCCCCCTAACCCCTCCTCCGCCCCCCCCCCCTTATCCGGAAAACCGGGGGGGGGGTCACTGCCAGTTCGAATCCCCCTCCCCCCCACCCCTCCTCCAGAAAATCGGGGGGGGTCACTGCCGGTTCGAACCCCCCCCCACCCCCCCCCTCGCCGGCTGCAAAAAACTCCCGGGTCCCCACCACCGTCCTCACCACCGCCCTCACCACTGTCCCCACCACCACGACCACCACCGTCCCCACCACTGTCCCACTGTCCCCACTGTCCCCACCAATGCACGCCCCACTACCGTCGCATTGCTACTACTTGTATCGGCGGTGCAGTTGCCATCTAGATGTCGCACTTGCAACTCGGTTGGATCTTTGTCGCAAGTCGGCGATGTTAGTTGCATCCTGCTGATCTGCGCGGTATCAGAAACCAAGTGCTTAGGTATGATGTATATCCTATTGATGTTGGTTCGGGGTTATAGGTGGGTTGCGATCTTGGGTTATCATATCTGGCCGATCCTGGATACGCATGTTGTGACAAAGCACTTAGCTATGTTGTGAACCTCATTGTAACTTGCAAATTCAGGTACTTGGATGTGTAGGATTGCTCACGCGAGTCCACATATTGTCATGTTGTCTCCCAATATTTTCACACATTTGCTTGAGATTTTACTTCGGTGTCCATGATTTCCTCGTAGCGTTTCCGCACGAAGTCCCGAACCCTGCGGGGTAAGTGCCCGTTGATAGGAGGAGAGGCGAGAAAAGAGGGGAGAAGGGAGGAGAGGGGAGAGGTTTGCAATTTTCACCAAGCACGCACATGGTCAGTAATCCGTTGCCGTTTGGACTCAAAACCTTTGAAGCTCAGCCTTTTGGCAAACAGCTGCACTTCCCACGGTCGACCGTTTGCCAACCGTGGGCAGCGAACTCTTGTGATGTCGCAACAGAAGTCAATGCTCGATGTACAGTTGGACGCAGTGGCTCCGAGATTGACGGCCTTGCTGCAGAAAATGGATGACCCCGAGGTTTCGTGCAAGCATGAGATGTCAGCATCGGACGAGATCGTAGCTTTGTTGCTCGAGCGGGACCTCGCATATGTAGAAACCGCACACGCGGACTTCTTCGGAGTACACGTCGACAACCGTTTCGGAGTAGGCGTTGAGGGCCAGGACGTACACGACCTTCTCAAAATTATCACGGACAGCGGCTTCTCTGCAGAGGCCGCCGCAGGAGCAACCGCCTTTGAATTGCCCGACGACCCTGAGCGCAGGAAGCAGGCATTCGCTTTTCAGAGGGACCTCGCTGATCGATCCGATGGGATGGTACCACCAGTGCAGGAACACAAGATCAGATATCTCACAGTTATGGGATCGCATACGAATGCAGGTGCCCGTGCAGTTTTACATGGGTGTAAGAGTAGCGTCGAGCACCTCACGGATGATGACGGGCGCCTGAACCAGGAGAAGGTGATCGCGTATAGCAGGTCGTATTCTGAAATATTGCAGAAAGGGCTTACGTGGCGAATCATTCGGAAAGAGGTGGAGACGAGGTTCCCGAAGCTCCCATTGTTTTTACAACGGGCAGGGAACGCAAAACATGGGTCAGAGCGTGTCCAGACACAGGTGCAAACCCTATATCAGATTCACCAGATGGCGAAGAGGTGCCCTAACTGGGATTCCATCGCATCAGACTTGTCCAGGAAGGCCAGCATGAGAGCGTTCGCAGTTGACATGTGCAGCTATGTCAAACAATGGTCAGGGGGCAGTGATGCGCCGTTTTTGAAGGACTTGCGAGCTTACTCCGCCACCCTCACTTTCAGGCGTGATCTGAGGCCACAGCATTGGAAGATGCTCGCCAACGTGGAAATATCACAGTGCGCTGAGTACGTGACGGCTTGCGTCAAAGCCATGATGACGGCACCCGAGAGTTTTTGCAGGGACGGATACACCAATCTTCTTCAGAGCAGCGACGTGCAGACCATCAACAACAAGAACAGGGCCTTGGCGATCCAAGCGTCTTGCATGTCACGTGGGGCTCGCGACTTTCTCAAGACGGTCCCCGACATGACTCAGAGCGACTCGCTGAAGCTGGTTGGCGACTTGGAGGTGCGGACCGTTCTTTGCATCCACTCTAAGAAGATCAAATCGCGCACCAACTTTAGCAAGCTGGAGCAGATCCAGACCCAGTTCCTCAAGGACCTCTACACGTTGTATCCTGCTGCGAAGGAGCTCACGCCGCCTTGGCCCTACAGCGTCGAGGACGCCAGCATCAAGGACGTGCACAGCGCCAGCTCCATGCGCGAGTTTGGCAGTCAGGGCATCACGCTGACTGGCGCCAAGGGCATGGGATTCGTCGTGGGCGGAGTGGTCGTGCCCAAGTCGGTGGATGAGGAGGTGGCCACCAAGTACAAGCTGGTGTCTTTCTCGGGGACTGACGTCGTCATGCGCAGGATTGAGTCGGAGGTGGCGGACGGCGCCGCGAAGTCCACGGACTGCGACGCCGACGAGGGCACCAACACGGTTCCCTTGACCAGTTTGGTCGACGACTACAAGGTCGCTGGCTTGATCCTCATGAGGAGGATGAGGAGGAGGAGGAGGGGGAGATGGAGATAAGGACGAAGAGAGGATGAGGAGGAGGAGGAGGAGGAGGAGGAGGAGGAGGAGGAGGAGGAGGAGGGGGAGGGGAGGGAGAGAGGAGGAGGACTAGGAGAAGGAGGAGGAGGAGGAGGAGGAGGGGGAGAGGGAGGAGGAGGAGAAAGGAGGAGGAAAAGGAGGAGATGGAGAAGGAAGAGGAGGAGGCGATTCCCATTTCCGTTCCGCCCAGGAACGGAAATGGGAAAGCAGCCTTGCGAGAGGGGGGAGGGGGAGGAGAGGAGGAGGAGGAGGAGGAGGAGGAAGGAGGATGAGGATGAGGAGGAGGAGGAGGAGGAGGAGATGGGGGATGGAGAGGAGGATGAGGATCCCAAGAAGGAGGAGGAGGAGGAGGAGGAGGAGGAAGAGGAGGAGGAGAAGGGAAGATGAGAAGAGAGGTTCCACAACCAGCGTTTCGGAAGACTTTTGGAACCATCCTCCTCCTCCTCCTCCTCCTCCTCCTCCTCCTCCTCATCCTCCTCCTCCTCCCCCTTCCAAGCCCCCCCTCTTCCTCCTCCTCCTCCTCCTCCTTCTCCTCCTCTCGCTTCTCCTCCTCGCTCCTCCTCCTCCTCCTCCTCCTCCTCCTCCTCCTCTCCTCCTCCTCCTCCCCCTCCTTCTCCTCATCCTCTTTCTCCTCCTCATCCTCATCCTCCCCAGCCTCCTCCTCCTCATCCTCATCATCATCATCCTTCCCCTCCTCTTCCTCCTCCTCCTCCTCCTCCTCCTCCTCCTCCTCCTCCTCCTCCTCCTCCTCCTCCTCCGTCTCTTTCTCCTCGTCCCCTTCCTCGATGGTGGGATCGGGAGGGTGGCCGCGGCGCGGCGAAAGCCAGGTCTTCAAGCAGATCACTGTGCACACGCTCTCCTTCGAGAGCGGCGGCGTCGACGAGGACTAAGGGGGGGGAGGAGAAAAAAAAAAAACGATGTTATGGCATTGCATTCCGGAACGTTCGGCCCCCCACGGATTCGAGTTTGGCGTCGAGACGCCCCCAGGTACCGGTAAGTATGTTTGAAACAAAAAAAAACATTGCATGTTTGATTTGTGGCCCCTGGGCGCCCCCGAACCGAGTTTACCCCCGACTGCAGGCTGCTGCTGCTGCTGCTGCTGGGGGGTGGGTGAGGGGAGAGGGGGAGGAGAACGGACGGTGAGTTTGGATTGAAGAGGTTAGCAGGTGCACGAGAGGACGAAGGGGAGGAGGAGGAAGAGGAGGAGGATGAGGAGGAGGAGGAAGAGGAGGAGGATAAGGAGGAGGAGGAGGAGGAGGAGGAGGAGAAGGAGAAGAATGAGGAGACACAAGAGGAGGAGGAGGAGGAGAAAGAGAAGGAGGAAGAGGAGGAGGAGCAGAAACAGGAGCAGGAGCAGGAGCAGGAGGAGGAGGAGGAGGAGGAGGGAGGCGGAGAAGAAGGCGGAGAAGGAGGAGGAGAGCGAATGAGATGAGGACGGACACTGAACGACGCTCGGCTTCCCCCCACCTCCTTTGGGCCAGGAGGTCACGGCCGTGCAGATCGACGATGTCGTGGCCAACCTGAAGGTTGCTGTGCACGGCCTCTACAAGGCCTGCCGCCCTGCTCTTTCCGTGAAGTTCACATGTGAATCGAAGGCCGTTGTTCAGAGCGTCGTTGCAAATGAGGCCTTTGCTAAAT